CAATTTTCATAATGCTCTACATGTTTCAATACATTGTATCAAATCCATGGAGCATTCCAGGAGTTTTCAATTCCAGGGCTTTTCAAGCAATTTAGGGTAGCATAAACCCTGTTCTAGTACTTACGGTAATATCCCTCTGCATCATCCCAGTTATCCATCAAGTTAGGATTTTCCTTTGCTGCATCAACCTTCATYAGCATCTGACCACCAGGGCTCTAGAAAAAAAAAACAAGACAACATCAGTYTCTTAKTGATTARAAACCTTTCCCTTACTGAGGCGTTTTTGTTTCCTCAACAGTTGTCAATACTTCCACTAAGTGTACAAGTATTAATTTGGTAAAAACAAAAAATTGCAGTTTGTACAGTTTAAAGAGTAGTCTCAAATGCAATTCAGTGAGGTTTAGAGTTTTGGTTGATGGCAGTAAAAACACACTTTAAAGTTTCTCTTCACATCAAAAGAACTTACACTGTAATGCTCAGAAAACATATCATCCACAGCAAACATGTCTCCATTCTTAGAGCTCTCTTGTGTTTGCTTATTGATCTTGTGATCTGCTTTTGCGTCCTTATGACCACTATCATCTTTTCCAACACCTACAGTGTCGCTATCACCTTGCTTCTGATTTCTAGACARAGCCATATCTCTCTCAAAGTCTTCTGTTGCTCTCTTCTCAACAGCGTTACTATCATCGCTCTCATCACTACTGCTGCTACTACTGTCCGAGTCGGAAGCTTTTGATGTTATAGATGTTGTTAGTGACACTGGTTGAGATGTTGTTCCAGCATATTTGTTTACTATTGCCTGACGCTGTCTTCTCCTTTGTTCAATGATTTCATCCTCATCTTCTTCAGATTCCATCTCAAAGTTATACATTTCATCACTATGGGTAAAAGGACATATATGAAAACAATATACAGTAAAACCCTGTGAATAAGAACCTAGATTTTTTCAATCAGCCTGAAAAGTCAGGCTCTCTAGTATCTTTGAAATTYCAGSCTGAAATGGTTCCTATGTGAAGGGTGCTTAAAATTTTAGGTTCTTGTATGCAGGATTTTTACAGTAATCCAAAATGTTAAATTTTCTTCAATAGTATACTATAGTATCAGTAAATGAATGCATGTAAGTACAATAAATAAATGAAATACAAAATGAATATTTTAGCCAACAGAACATTGTGGTAGAAGTTTATATGAATTTGACTTCATTTGCATTGTAATGCAACAGTTGTGACATGTAGTAGCAATAGAAAACCACCAATCAAAACAGTCAGCATTGATTTTAAACCCAATAGCACAGTGTAGAAAAGAACAGAAAATAAAATTAACAGAAAGAGTAGAGGACTGGATATAAGTTTCTAAAATTAATGTAATAAAAAATGATCTTCACAACACAATATATTAGATGAAATCAAAACAAAGCACTTGTACTGTAAAATATAATCAAAGAAGTAGTAGCTATTACTTTTATTTATTGACTAATTGTATCTAATTGTAGATATCACTAAACCAGAACATTTCATGAAAACAAAAACACTGTAATGAAGAGACTTGGAAGCTGTATAATGTAAAAGCTACCGATGAGGAAAGTTACTGGACCTGCATGGTTGGTTACAGGATTAGTACACCATCAGGGCTTTCCCATACATTCCCTTGTAAAGTAATACTGTATACAAACACTTATATTTATACTTTTACTGTATGCAGAGTACAAGACAGTACTAAGTTATACTCTRCAATAGATACAGTACATGTAGTCTCAGTGCATCTCACTGTCAAATCAACAATAAATTTACAAKGAGTAACATACTTGGAWTCTGGCTTATCCTTGCCCTTTTGKGCTTCCTCAGAAAAACTGCCTTTATGCTTGTCTGAYGTTCTCCTGTCACGTCTGGACCTAGGTGAATGAGATCTGCTTCTTGATTGCCTCCTTCTTCTCCTAGGAGACCTACYTCTATCATGACGTCGATGACCTGGTGACCTAGTTCTTGCTGGTGATCTATTTCTAGGGGGAGATCTTGGTCTTTTACGAGGGGAAGAGCTTCGGTGTGGGGAATGACTCTTGTGTACATTATCTATCCTTTTGGTTTTGTATTCTTTTGATCTGCTTCTTCGTCTTCTTGATGATGATGGAGATCTTGATCTCTGCGATCTATCCCGAGAATCAGATTTTGATGGAGACTTTTTATCTCTTGTGCTAGAACTTTGAATRCTATTATCTTGTTCTGTGAAAGTTCTTTGTGATTTATCATTTGCTGGGGTATTATCTCTGGAATGTTGCGCATTTGACTCTTTTTTAGGAATATCATAATTGTTTGATCTGAATGKTTTTTCTATTTCTTTGGACTGGGATCTCTCATTTGTAGAATTAAACTTAGATGYGATTTCAGCTTCTTTGTCTTTGGAYTGACTTGATCGTTCAGAGACTTTTCTAGCCAAATCTTTTGAGCGGCCACAGTGTTCTGTTGAACCATACCTTTCCATTTGATCTGCCTTTTCCTTTGAACTGCTTCTACTTCTGTCCTTYCCTTTAGCATTGTYTACAGAACAAGATGATTCTTTAGCTTCAGAATTATCTTTCTGTAAGGTTTCYTTGATATTATTACTTGAAACCTGTTTGAGTGCTTTAGAGCGACCAAAAATATCTGTAGATCCAGACCTCTCTCTGCGATTTCTTTCTCTATCGGCAGAAGAGTCCCTATTTTTGTAGTCCCTGTCTCGTGAAGTGCGGCTTTCACTCCTGTGCCTTTCTGGAGATTTGGATTTCTGTTCCTTTCTTTTAGAATCATTATCCCTAAAGCTCCTATGCTTTTCTGGTGATCGTGACTTCCGCTTTCTATGCTTGTCCGGTGAGCGTATTTTGCGTTCTTTGTGTCTTTCTGGTGATCGCGATTTGGGTTCCCTGTGTCTTTCAGGTGATCTCTGCTTGTGTTCTCGTTTCTTCAGATCACTGTCTCTTAGTGTTCTTACATTCCTATCTGGTGAAACTGAAAAGTCTCTGTGATATCGATCCTTCGCTCTGCTATCTCTTTCATATGACGTCTTGTCAAGCTTTGTGGATTCCCTAAGTCGCTCAATGCCATCATCATCACGTTTCTCTCTCTTTGACGAACTTTTCTTATCTAACGAGCTACATAGAGTTGAGGTACTRTGTTTATCATTTTCGAGTTGCTGTTGTAGGTATGCTTTACGTTTCTCTAACTCCTCCAGTTCGCCTTCGATCGCTTCCAAYTTAATCTTCTTGCCTGTCGGCTCTGGTTCAGTTGAATTCTTGCGATGTTTTCTTTTGTGCTTATGTTTTCTCTTACGATCTTTGTCGTCATCTGAATGCTTGTGGTGTTTATGTTTATGGTGATGTTTATGTTTCTTCTTCTTCTTTCTGTGCTCGGTTTTGCGTTCGGACGAAGTTGGGCTACAGCGGCCATTTTCAGCATCTTCGGGAGTCGAGTTGCTAAAAGACAAAAAAACATGCTAAAAAAATCAATCTTACTCGTTAGAAACAATATTAAAGGTCTTCTTTGTTTCTTATTTACCTTTCAGAGCTATTTCCTAGAGTTTCTTCAACTTTGATATCACTTGTCTGACTTTCATTAATCAAGCTACCGATGGCCGCCATTTTGAATCTTCGCCCATGTGTCGTCGAATACGTCACTAGACTCTTCCGCAGTCCCCTGCTCGGCTTTTGGTCTTCTCGCAGCGAGAAGACCAAAAGCCGAGCAGGGGACTGCGGAAGAGTCTAATACGTCACTAGATCCAGTCCTTACCTAAGTATGGTTGATAAATCCCTAGGAGACTCCCAAGCGGCTCTGAGCGGATCATGTGATCAATTTCCTAAAAAAATTATTCTAAAATTAAAAATGGTTAGGAACAAATATATTTTTGATCAAATAGAGTTTTGGTTTAAAGATGAATTAGTACTTTTTACTTGTTGATCGTTTAGAGACAAATTTTAGCCTTCACCCCTCCCCCCAGTCAATCCTTCTCCCTCTCCCCCCTCCACTCTAGAGATGCTTCATTATGTACCGGATTATGTAATGAAGCGAAAATAGACATCGTAGTCTCGTGATTGAGTGTGTCCGCTTATAATCTTCAACGAGCAAACCCCGTCACCAATTATACYCTTCTGAGGGTGATTTAACGGATTTTSTGGCCAAAATCATGCAGAATTGTTTTATTTTGGCCTGTGCTCTAGTAGGCTTTTTTCTTGTTCTTGGTTGTCAAGCGCTGCCTCCAAACACCATCCAGAAGTTGGTTGACGCTGATCCTCGAATGACGCAGGAATTAGGGGAACTAGAGCAGCTTGGCGAGAAAACAATTCGTCTTGTACAAGCTAACATTTCGCGAGAATGTTCTAATGCACTCATGTACTTGGTGAACAACGAGTCAAGGGCATTGTTAGCCTGTAAGTAGACTCACTTTATAGTCTYGTTATATTATGCACCTATTTAGCCCCTGGGGGAGGCCGGTAAAGGGGTGGGRATTAGACATTTTTTTCTTTTCTCWGTCAAAAGCCMCACCATCRGGATGAAAAATTTGACCAAAATCCAGTAAAATTTCCKACCTGGGGGTCCACCTGTTCACTGGTGAAAAACGCACTGYGCATGCCCACAGCTTTCCTGCCAGTGGGYACTTGAAATCTGTAAACAGAGCGCCTGGCAATTTACAGCGACAACACAGAAAATACGTACAGGAAACAATACGAAATAACCTCATTTTCTCAAAATAGAAATGACAAGATAAAAATAGAAACTACATATACTAAAAGGACCTATCATAATCATAAATAATGATTGATGGAAATATGAATCTTATATATCAGTGAACAAGCTTATAAATTGTAAAAAACTTTCACAAAAATCGATTTACAGTGAAGCCCTTGAACTTAGTGACCTTCCTACACTTTACGATCGTAGAGAGTCACTAGCAACAAAACTTTTTAACAATATAACCGCAAACTCTCATTACAGACTTCACCATCTCCTTCCCGAACGTCATAAGCACGTGTACTCCCTTAGGAACACAAGAACTTTTAGTGTACCAATTTTCAAAACAAATAGATGTAATTAGGCAGTGTTTCATAGGAATTTACTCGTTCTTTAAAAGTCTAAGGGAAAAAATACCCAGAAGTCATAGTGAGCACTTCGACACCGCGTTGGCAGTGTTTCATAGGAATTTACTCGTTGTTTAAAAGTCTATCGGAAAAAATACCCAGAAGTCATAGCGAGCACTGTGGCAGTGTTTCATAGGTGCTTTCAGAGTGACGGGTTATTCTAAAGTTGTTCCCAAGAAGGATACAGGAAAAGTAGAGGAAAAGCAGTTTTTTTTATATTCTGAGGATATTCATAACGGAGCAGGTCAATGAGTGGCAAGCAAGCTTATACAAAAATTTTTCATACTCTGATTAATTATTCATGAGTTATCCAGCCAATCCTGAAAACCAGAAGATTAAAGTTACTCCTAAGTTGTATCCAGTTACTTCTACCTGCTTGTTTTCAGCTAATTCTACCTTATTTCCAGTCACTTCTAACTTTTTTCAAACTACTACTTAACTATAGCTGTATGATTAAAGTTTATACAACTTTTCAGTAAAATCAGACGTTTTGATTGGTTGGCTTTCATGTGTTATCAAAGTTTATACAACTTTTCAGTAAAATCAGACGTTTTGATTGGTTGGCTTTGTTATCAAAGTATAGATACACGGATTACGTCAAAACTAATTGTTTGTTGTATAAAACAGATAGATCTCATTTTTCCATGCGTGTGTACTCTAATAGATACACAGATGACGTCAAAATGTAGTGAGAACAACAGTCACGCACTCGACTGCGTCTCGTGCGTACTTTTTTGTTCTCACTACATTTTGACGTCATCTGTGTATCTATTAGAGTACACACGCACGGAAAAATGAGATCTATTTGTTAAATAAATATAATCAATATAGTATAGAATTGATTTAGCGAAAAAAGGTCTTACAAATCGATCCCCAACTGTCCATATGTTTAAATATTTTATATTGCTTAATATGAAATTCGAACATACATGTAAGCTAAAGCATATTTTTTTGCTAAAAATTTAAAATCAGGACAAAACTCTTGCTCAAATAAAGATTTGGTCACAGGCAATGATATTTCCCACATTGTGTTTTCCTAAGGAATTTATTAATGAATTTGATAACAATTTGTAGATATTGATGCCACTGGAAAGATCCCAAGCGGTATTTTGGAGGGAGATTTTTTGTGGCTTGGATCGTACAGTGCTTGCAACAATATCCCATCTGCTCATTACTGCATGGCCAATGTATTGCTGTATAAGATATCTTTGTTCAAAGATGCGGTATGTACATATTATATAATTTTAACTATGGTCCTTTCGCCCCATCTCAAAGAAGGAATAAACTGTCCAAAACTATCTTTTTTTTAGTAATACCATGATCACCTAGGATTCCATTGTCTTCCGAGGGGTTTACAAACCCGAATTTTCCTCATGAATAACATGAGGGAAATTTAGAAGACAAAGGATTTTATGCAAGGGAAATTTAGTAAAAGACAATTATACTAATTTCCATTGCATAAATTAAATAGAGGGAAATTTAGTAAAAGACAAAAGAATCCTTTGTCTTCTAGATTTCCCTCATGTTATTCATGAGGAAAATTAGGGTTCCTTTGCTTTCTATACTTCCCTTATGCAGTGCACAATGCAAATATGGTAGACTAGATTACCCTCTAAAGAGATTCTACTGAAAACAAGTCTCCTACACCATCTGGCACTAGCATGTCTTGCATGTGGGACATGGTTTACCTAACTGTGCATGCCTGTGCACTCAGTTAAAAAAACGAAAATGCCTATGACAGATTTAAGCGCAGTCACATAAAAAATATTATAAAAAATCACTTGTTTAAAATAATTTGGTTGTAGCACCACATTGCACTTACACTTTTGCCAACTCGAAATGAAGCATCGAAAGAAATAGCTTTTTAATACAGCAATCTTAATTTATTTAACTTCGTTGTCTGTTCTAATGCACTAGTCCTTTTAACAGCAAGATTGCCCCGGGGGGTCGGGATTTTGATGAATTGTTTTCGAAGCGGGGCAAAGAGCGGGATTTTAACGCATGTATGGGGCTGGAAACTAGACCTTCGCCATCTTGAAAAATACCCTATTGGTATTCAACCCCGCTTTTTTATTTGTTTATTTTTCCTTGCATGAATTTGTTTTAAAAGAAACTTATTACACGTTTTTCTCCGTCCAGTTAGCCTCATTTAGCACGTAAATGAGTACACAGGGTTATACAAAAATTAACCCTGTGTATCACAGAAAATTTGATTTAAAGGTGTTTGTTTTGTTATTTACTACTAGACCAAAATAACAGTGCAACAGTACCTGGGATTTTAACAATGAATATGCCCTGACTATACTGCGGGAAATGTCTTATTTTAACACCAATCAAACGTTAAATTCCCCGGGGGTCGGGGGTCGGGGGTCGGGGGGCGGGGGTTTCAATTGACTAGTGCATAAACGAAAATCTATCACCATGTTGTTTGAGCGTTGTATACGAATTTAAATTCTGCGATACTAAATATTATCTTTGGTACCCTAAGGGACTACAAAACAAGTGATGAAATAGTACTAACGAACCAATGTTGAATCAATTACACAATAGAAGACAAAGTAACGTATTTGAAAAGTATTGTTTGATTACRCCATTATCAAGCCTAGGTGTACAACACGCTTCCTTGACTAGAAAACTGGACATGATATCAAAGATGTTTCCTAATACTTCTTCGCTGATCATAGTATTACAAAGTAATACCATGCGTCCTCTGTTTCGGGGAAATTTAATCACTAATTTCCCTCGTTTCATGGTATTACTTATAATAATTAACCCTTTGACTCCTACGGCGCCCGAAACCGACCGTAAGAAACGTAACTCTTTAAAAAAATCGTTTCTTTCTGTAGCGACTATAAGCTTTGAAGCAATTTTGGTATCAACTTAAGCCCTAGGAATTGTTCTTTCTTTTCATGCCAAGTCAATGTGGACTAGCTACTCATTTCAGAACAAAATCAATTTTGGTRAAGTCAAAAAAATGAAAAAAACGCTGGTTGTGGCACTAATTTCCGACCGTGAAAATTACACTTTTTCATTACAATTTTTTCCTACAAAATCCTTGTTTCAAATAATTAAAACATTCTGATAAAGTTCAGTCCTAGTTCTACCATCTAAGCCATTACGTCTTCCATTTTTCCCGAGCAGCTTCTGAGAGGGCTTTCTCTTTGACCCCTATTTCAGAGCATATGGTCTAACCATATTTTTGCGCGAAATGAATTCTGGGAAAACACCGTAGAGCAACCTTCCCCTCCATCCTCAAATAGGAATTTTTATATTTCCAGTTGGTACGTTGTGTTCCTTGATAGCCAAAACGTCCAAAAATTGCTGTGGCAGGTCCAAGAATTTGCCTTTAGACGGTCTTTTAAGTGAAACTCTTTAAGCGAAGGTTCAAGTTCATCAAATCGCCTATTCAAACAAAATCGCCTAAAAAGTTACACACCAAGCTGGATTCTTTCAGCAAGTAAGCTCCTTCTCTACTTACAAACTTAATGATGTCCGTACAGAAGTGACTAAAGGCAAAAAAGGATAAAAAAACAGCAAAAATCCGTATTTCTTGGAGTCTAGCTTCCCGCCAAAACAAGCAAACTGTCGAACGAAGCATAGATTAGGTGACGGTTTTGGCAGCCATCTTGGACCGGTAGGCATAGTGTCGCAAARTAACAAGGAATGACCGGGAAATCGATGTCAAATAATTCTCGCTGAATTCAAAATTCGGAAAGAAAAACGTTAGATACTACAAAAAGGAGTTACCTGGCCAAACTTGAAGGATGTACGTCATCTATGGAGCGAGAAAATTTATTTTTAGTTCTCAATACATTTCTTTGTATTTTTCACGCGCATCACACGCTGATGGCCCCGGAAATTACAAAGAAATGTATTGGGAACTAAAAATGAGTTTACTCGCTCTCTAGATCAAATAGCTTTTCATAGCTCAAAGGCCAGTTGTGAATGAAGCTATTTTTGACTTTTAACCCAGGATCCTTTTCGCGCTGTGTCCAACACCTCCTTCACGCGAGTTTGTCTCCACCGTCCTTTCAAGTCATTTCGGTGCTTAGATAGTTTTCGAGAGCTGACGAGCTCTTCACATGGTGGTAGCGTAAGTTTCATGCTCTATTTTCTCTGTGATAAGTTCTGAAATTGCCGCTGATTTACGTGAAATTCTAACCATACACAATGAAGGAGGCTAATCGCAGACTCTATGCTCTGAGAAGGATAAATAAAGGTGTCGGACACTCATCCGAGATAGAATTATACTTGGAGTGAGAGATGACTGTAACGGAAAACGGAAACGTCTTCTGCAGGAGAGCAAGCTAGTAACACTTAAAAAGGCCTTGGAAATTTGTCGAAGTTATGAGAAAACCTCTCAACAACTGAAGGTCATAGCTGGCAAAGAGAACGAAACCGTCCACTGAATGACATCAAAGGCATCTAGACAGTGAGAAACCTAGTCTAGCAGAAAGTTCCAAAGTCAAGTCATGTAAGTTTTGTTGTCTGAAACACAAACTGAAAGAAAAGAAAGAGCTCTGTCCCGCCTATGGAAAGAAGTGCAGTAAACGTCACAAGGCCAACCACTTCTCACGCTGTTGTCCAGCGAAGATGTTTCATGTTGTTGATGATGATGTTACTTTTGGGTCTGATTCTGACTCCTTTAGAGGTTCTATATTCACTGAAACACAACACACTTTGCAATCTTTGTCTTCTGGTGTGGTGTATGCTGAGATGCTCCTGGATGGTGAAAGGCTAGAGTCTCCAATTGACTCTGGCGCAATTGTAAATGTATTGCCTGTGGAGCATGTCACACAAAGTCCAAAAAAATCCAAAGCTGTCCTCAAGACATACAGCAACTCAACTCTTAAGCCTGTTGGAAAGTGCAAAGTACCTGTTGTCAATCTAGCCAGTGGACAAAGGCACAAAACTACATTTGAAGTTGTCTCAAAAAGTCTAACGCCTATCCTTAGCCGTCAAGCATCGGAACGATTGGGTCTTATCACATTCCACTACGACAACTTCAAGCAAGTCCATGCAGTGGATACCAGGCCAGAGTTAGCTGATGAGCATAAATCAGTGTTTGACGACAGCTCTATCAGGATGTTTCCCTGGTAAAGTAAGCCTTAAGGTTGACCAAGGCGCCAAGCCTGTACAGTGTCCCCCACGACGAGTTGCTGTGGCCCTTAAACCGGAGGTAGAGCAAGAACTGGCTAACCTTGTGAAACTGGGTGTGATAACTCCTGTGACCGAGCCTACAGAATGGTGCTCCCAAATGTCTCTGCAGACGAAAGAAAATGGAGAACTCAGAATATGCACTGACCCTGGACCACTCAATCAAGCACTCCAGCGTGAACGTTATCCTCTACCTACGATGGATGACCTTTTGCCTGAACTAGCTGATGGAAAGATGTTTAGCAAAGTAGATCTAGCACATGGATACTGGCATTGTGAGTTGGAAGAGGGCAGTAATTATTTGACTACTTCCATCACTCCTTTAAGTCGTTTCAGGTGGCTCCGCTTGCCTTTCGGCTTACAAAGTAAGTTCAGAAATCTTCCAACGAAGGCTGACTGAGGTACTAGGAGATGTAGATAGTGCTGTATCGGTTGCCGATGATGTCTTGGTGTATGGAACCTCGGGAGATGATCACGATGTGAAGCTGAGTAACCTGCTTAAAGTGCGCGCTAAGAACAACATAAAGCTGAACAAGGAGAAATGTGTTTTCCGGACTGATCAGATAGAGTTCCTTGGTCACCTAGTGACTAGCCGTGGACTCAAACCTGACCCAAGGAAGGTGGATGCTATCGCCAACATAGAAAGGCCTAAAGACGTAGAAGGCACTCGACGACTAGCTACTCGGCATGGTGACGTACCTAGCAAAATTCCTACCCAGCCTGTCCACAATTGCTGAACCCCTCAAGGGAAAGTGTGGGCAGGTGAACAAGAGTCTGCACTCAAAGAAATCAAGAGGTTAGTAACCGAAGCCCCTGTACTAGCGTATTATGACCCAACTAAAGAGCTGGTAATTCAGTGCGATGCATCAAGCAAAGATCTTGGGGCAGTTCTTCTTCAAGATGGAAAGCCATTAGAGTATGCCAGCCGAGCATGCATTCTCAAACGCCGAAGTCAACTACGCTCAGATTAAAAAGGAATGCTTAGCGGTTCTATATGTTTTGGAACGTTTGCACCAATACACTTTTGGACGCCACACAATGGTACACAGTGACCACAAGCCTCTGGAGATGATAGTTCGCAAACAGCTTCACAAGGCACCAAAAAGGCTTCAAGGCATTATGTTGAGATTGATGCAGTATGACATCACTGTGGTCTATAAGAAGGGTATAGAGATGTTTCTTGCAGATACCTTGTCACGTGCTTACCTCCCTAAGAAAGCCAGAAAAGACAGATTCTCAAAGATCAATTCAATCAAGCACCTGCGTATAAGAGAAGAGCCGGACTCCAAGAACTCAAAAAAGCCACTGAAGCTGATATTGTTACGCGAAGTCTTAAGTCTGTCATTCTCAAAGGTTGGCCTGAGTCAAAACAGGATCTTCCAGTTGAAGTTACCCCATACTACTCTTTCCGAGATGAGCTTACTCTAGCCGATGGTCTGATCCTTAAAGGAGAGTGAGTTGTAGTACCGGAAGCCATGAGGTCCACCCTCAAGAACCATCTTCATTTGTCACACTTAGGAGGTGAAAGCATGCTTAGACGTGCACGTGATTGTGTATATATTATGCCGATAGAATCAAACCGTCCCTGGAAAGTTGTAGGTGTGGATATATTCACTCTAGAGAATTAAATAAAGAGTACTTGGTAACCATTGACTACTTCAGTGGATTCTGGGAAGTAGACCTTCTAAAGAGTACCTCGTCTCAAACTGCGATAGGCAAGCTGAAGAGTCATTTCTCCATGTATGGAATACCCGCAAAGGTCATTGGTGACAATGGGCCTCAGTTCCGCTCTAAAGAGTTCCACGATTTCGCTGTAGCATGGGACTTTGAACACTGCCTGTCCGCACCTATGCACTCAAATGCAAATAGAAAGGCCGAATCAGGAGTGAAAGCAGCGAAGATCGAAGATGTTGAGGAAATGTGCCAAAGGCGATGCAGATCCGCAAAGGAAGTGTTAGACAAAAGAACAATAAAGGTGCTAAAAAGGGAACAAAGGATATAAAACTTATCTGAAAACAAAGCGCTCATTCAACCCATGGGGATGAGCCGCATTTCTTTGGTTTTGCGACAATAATTATTGCCGCTAATCAAAGACAAAGCAAAAACAATAAAGCTAGGAAGTGAATGGTTGGGTAGGTTAAAATGGCGGGAAACAGGCTTATTAAGATCATTATGACGAATACTATAAAGATGTTCACGGATACGATCGTCTCGCCAACATATATACAACAAATTACAAAGCGAACATTTAATGCGATAGACAGGCATTTCCAAAGGTTGAACAAATTCAAGACAATTAAGATTACATTAGTCAACATTTGATAGTAAACTTAATGACACAATTTGATAGGGATTTTGGCTTTCTGGAAGCTACGTACCTTCTGCATTCACATTGTTTTGAGCTTCTTTGCCCTCTAAAATCGTATTGCTATGTGGTCAAGCACATGCAAATGGCTTATTGATAATCTTACTGTATTTAGTCTGTACTGTCCTAATAGTCTCCTTCACGGTTCCCACTGTAGCTGTGCCTTTGCATCGAAGCGAGACAACCGTTGAGCATGCAATGATAGCTAGAAACCTGTTAATAATTGTCTTTAGGTGTGAAAGAAGGTTTCTATCATTGCACTCTCAACGGTTGTCTCGCTTCAATGCAAAGGCACGGCTACCTTTCAAGATGGCGCAGGGAATCGTGAAGGAGACTATTATGGATAGTCTGTGTTCCTGTATTTCTATAATCTCCTTGTCCTTGAATAAGGCTGCTGAATCTTTTTTTTTTTAATATTTCAGACTATCCCAGCCCGTTGGGGCGTTTGTGTACCAAGTGCATGTAGTGAACTTGATGTAGCAGTTGCCATAGAAGATATCTTAGGTAAGCTGAAGTGGAACTGGTATTTTCTGGTTGCTTGATTTTCTGCATTTTAAAGGTTGCAAGTATAATTGACAATTTTTTTAAATTTTTTGGGGTGGGGTGAATGTGATATCATAGCCAAGCAAAAAATCTCGATATTTTTTCTAAAGAGCTCTTTTTACAATATATCTTAAATATACTTCTAGATAGTGTGTATGCAAATTTTGATACGAATTCGACGCTTTGGTGGCGAAAGACAAAAGTTTTAGTTTGTGCGGAGTTTAATTTATTCTACTTCTAAATCGTATAAAAACTTTGAAATTGGATAAATCATTCTTTCAACTCCGTAAGAACTTACTTAAGGTGATTTTTCTTTGGAATAAAGCCATTATTGAACATTATTAAGGAAACCAGAGTTTTTGAAGGCAATATTTCAAATCAGCCGCCATCTTGGATGATCAAAGTTGTCATCCAAGATGTCCCCATACAAATTAACCAAATATTTCAAATCTTTATTCGCTTATATCTTCATCAGAAAGTAAGCTTCAGGACTTAAAGCTCGTCTTCTAGATAATCTGACTATGCTCTTTGTGACTTGCTACTTTTTTTTACATTTCTATTTATTAGATGCCTTTGGACTCAACAGAAAGATATTGATTTCAACAAAGCCAGATCCCAGGTCAATTTACTGTGCCAAACCCTCAGAATACAGGGGTGCTGATATATTTTGCCTGTAAGTCCTTTAAAATTATCCAAATTATCATGTACATGTACTTATAAATCATTTTTTCGCTATGGAAGCTTGTTAAAGTTGACATATTGCTGTGTTTTGTCTGCAAATGTTAGTCTTCATCAGGCAATGGTGTAGATAAAAGTAACTGGAAATAATGTAGGAGAAACTGGAAATGAGGTAGGAGAAACATCCTCTAGTTTCCAGTTAGTGCAGGTGGCACTAACTTACAATCTCAGCGCTTGAATGCGTTGTCAATCATTTCTGAACATAAGAAGGTTTGTGTCTTATAGTCTTATATATCACATGTGAGGCAACTGGGCCGGATTGGTTTATTTGTGACATTCCGTCCTGCTTTCTCATTGTCAGTATTATCTGTACAGCTGCCAATGCTCCTATCATTATTGCCCGTTCCGAAATTCAAAAAGGGATTGGTGACGTCACAAACTCGATACCGTTTGATGCCATCAAACGGTATAGACCAGGACAAGAAAGAGCACACATCATCATCATCATCATGGCGGCCGGAGCCGAGTAGCACGCCTGGMTCGCCAATCCTCGCGGTTGGCCATGCAGATAGCTAGTTCAGCAACGGAGGCTGCCCCCACATCACGCTTCAGAGWGTCTATGAAGGTTGACGGTGGTCTTCCCAGGCTTCGACGTCCATGGCAAGGCTCCCAAAGTATGAGACCACTAGCCAGATTGTCCTGCCTGAAGCAGTGGCCTGCGAGACCCAACCRTCGCCAAGCAATTTTGTCTGAGACTCTAAAGAGCATACTAAAATTAGTAAAGCTGCTGAGTTTGAGAGTATTCAGATTAATAATTACAGAGTTTCAAGCGTTTAAAACTCGAAAAAATTACAAAGAATGTATAGAGCTCTTGAGCAACGTCCACAAAAACCACACATTCTCTCTTATTTTAACAAATTTGAAAAAATTCCTACTCGGTGAGTATTTAACCAAATATGCTCAAACTTGACAAGAACAGTTATTTAAGTGTGGTCTTTCATGTGGTGAGGTTCAGTTTTCGATGAATGTAATATTTTCACACTCGTTCCCAGTCTCCTATTGAATTTCGGAATGTCCAATTGTGTGTGAAGGGGCTTTACTACTTTCTTGACTTTCTTATAAGCAGAGATTGTGTACGTGCTTGTTGGCATGTTTGGAGACTGATCACCATGCTGGCAACCTAATGGAACATATTGCAGCAACTCATCACACATGATGGGACGGCGGTATTTATAAATATAAAGAACTTTCAGTCCCTCCATTGCCTGGTGACAATTTTTGCAGACGAAATGGTGCAGTCTTTCCAGGGGGTCTGTAATGTTGTCATTTTGGCAATGCATGATTCCGTATGTGGTCTCCAAACCTCTGCAATGTGTTTCAAATGCTAATTCAAATCAAAATATGACTTAGCCGTTGTTTCCAATTACCCTTAAATGACTTTAAATTTATGTTTTGTAAATGCAAATATATTTGACAACTATTGCCCAAGCTTTAGCAAATCTACTAAGCAGCTTCCATAGATCAGTGTAATAGATACTGCATGTACACCTCTCTAAGTTCATAACTTGTATTGGTGAGGCAGAATAGATGATAGTATCTTTTGTTCACATATCACATATCACTGGTCATGCTATTAACCAATACATTTTTTGTCAATAAGGATCATTTGCGGCATTCTAGCTCTAACCTGTCTAGCTGGCACATTCCTCGACTTGATTGAAAATAGTGTGTTGTCTACAAAATCAAAGAAAGAAAATGTTAATGTACAGAATGGCAAAGTTCGTCACGGGGACAATTCATTTGAAAGTGACAGAGATATACTTGTCAACCATGACAGCATGGGTCCTTCGGCTGAATTTGTACCAAAAAAGAAACGTAAGTAATTGTTTTGTGATTTAGTTATTTAAAATTGGTAATCGCAGTGTGGAATAAGTCCAAAAGTCCATGTGGTTATAAATGATTCTTGAATTCGTGGTACTTAATATACACGTAATATACACTTAAAATTCACTAAAACTCCTGGAATACTCCTTGATTCTATTGCATCTACATGTCGATTTTTAATTTTTTGGTTGAAATAACAAGTGTTAAAGTTGTTGCAGGAAACATTCGGAAACTTCAGACGAGATCTTGAGAGTAGTGCTTGAAATTTTTTTTTTCAAATATTAGGCTAAAAAGGTACTTTATATGTTCGAGATTTTTGTGATGAAAATTAAGCACAAACCCTCTGATAGTAATACTTACTTCATAAATTCAGGCGATTCTGTTGTTTCTATTAAATAAAGATTGTTTCATTTATCCCTTTAATAAATATCATGTGAATACAGACCGTAGCTAGAGGGAACTGAATTGAGGCAAGCAACTGCCAAAGCCGGTAGGAACTAGGTGGGTTCGGGGGCATTCCCCCCGAGAGATTTTGAAATCCAGTCTAGGAAAACGGTCAAGGAGAACGCTGACATTCTTGCCGCTATATCCTGAACAGCTCCTTTCAAGAACGAGTTCTGCCTAGCTCATGGAAAATGGCCGACATCATCCCTCTTTCAAAGCAGAAACCAGTGACGGATGTTAACAAACACCTCCGACGTATCTCACTCACACCTATCTTGTCTAAAGTGGCAGAGGAGATTATATTTGAAGAATTTGTTAAATCTGCGGTGATGCAAAATATCGACCCTTACCAGTATGGAACAGTATGGAACGCAAATCATGTACTACACACGCATTGATTAGCATGCTTCACTCGTGGTACAAAGGTACAGACGGGAATGGTGCTTCTGCCCGCGTCGTCCTATTCGACTTCAAGAAAGCGTTTGACCTAATTGACCATCACATCCTTTGTGACAAGCTTCAACAATACAACCACCAAGCAGGGGTCTTAGATTGGGTTAGAAACTTTCTCGCAAACAGAATGCAAACGGTCAAACTTCCCCAGGATTGTTATTCAGAGTGGGGTCGAGTACTAGCTGGGGTGCCCCAGGGTACCAAATTGGGTTCTTGGTTGTTCGCTGTAATGATCAATGACATCAATGTCCCCGGTGTTAGTTCCTGGAAATGTATAGATTACACGACAATGTCAGAAATTGTGGTAAACCAAGCACTGTCCAAGCTGCAGTTGACGAACTTGCTACACAGTCCGCACAACACCATTTCAGATTAAATGAATATAAGTGTAAAGAAGTATGCATCATGCAGCTTTTCGAGAGAGAACAGAAACATTTTCGAGCTTGTTATTATAAACGGCAGCCGTATTGACACAGTATCAAATGCCAAGCTGGTTGGTCTAGCCATCTCAAATGACCTCAAATGGAACTCACACGTATACGATATAGTGAGGAGAGTATCATCAATATTATACCTATTACGTCAGCTCAAGCGCGCTCGTTTGGACACGAAAGAGCTGTGCTTTTTTTACGACGTATATCCGTCCAGTTTCCGAGTACGCCTGCCAGGTCTTCTGTAACAGCCTTCCCAATTATCTCTCAGAGGAAATTGAAAGACTACAGAAGCACGCTATGTGCATAATCTTCCCTGAAACCAGCTATTCTGAAGCCTCAAAATCCGCTGGCCTGGAACTCCTTAGCGAAAGAAGAGTGTCCTTGACTACACAGCTTTTCACTGAGATCTGTGAGAACACAAATCACAAACTGAACAATCTATTGCCTCCGATAAACCAATGTCAAAAGAACCTTAGAACCAAAAGAGCCTTTAATGTACGAACTTGTAAGACAATTCGGCGTATATCAAGTGCTTTGCGAACTTTGTAACCATGTTTAAATAGTTTTAGTAGTTTTTTATATTACCTTTTATCTTCATGGTATGTATTCCATTGTAAATAATGCCGTAATTCAGCCTTTGGCTGCAAGGGTTTTTATCAATAAACTGTTTATCTTATCTATCTCTATCTATCTTAGATATGAATTGACAGAACAATAATATTTATTGGTACTGGGTGATTTGAGAAAATGCGACTAGTCAATCAGCGCAAAGCTGACAAGCTTATGTTGTAAACATAACTCCCCGACGGGAGGAATTTGCACAGCAAAACTCGACCCAGTGGAGTAGGCTGCCTGTCATTTTGTTCCATCTGAATAATCAAAGCTAAAACGCAAAGAGAAATTGAAAATCTTTATAAAATAGCTTTTAAATGTCAATCAAATATTTATTGTTATAGAAATAGAATTTTATCTTAAAAATGAAATAACAAATAATTTTTTCTTTAATGCCAAGAGACTCCCCTCCCT